TCTTCTTCTTCTTCTTCTTCTTCTTCTTCTTCTTCTTCTTCTTCTTCTTCTTCTTCGTTTGTGTATCTTTTCTAATTCTGCATTACCTTTTAATTATGTAAAACTCTAATAAAAATATTCTCAAAAATATTTTACTTTGGTCAAAACTTCTTATTTTTCTCTCTCACCAGTTCTGCTGGACACATTTCAGAGGGAACAGTTCATTTAGACCCAGTTTAATTCCTAAGTTGCTACTCCTTCTAGTTATAAACACTGACAGATCACAGAATTAGTGTCAGTTGTGGTTTATATTTACACAAATAAATGCAAAAGTGAACCAAATAAATTCAAAAGTCATTCATGTCTTCACAGGATAGTGTGAATGCAAATGTATGCATTTTGAAGCATTAAATTGGGGAGAGTCACCCTTCACTGAGTATTCAGTGATAACAGGTGATCAGTTACAGGGTAAGGGAAAAGATCCTCAAGATTATTTAGTTGCAGGTTTCTTATCACTGTAAGTGTATTAGGTCACAGAAACAAAGTATAGATCCAGTAAAAAACAAACAAATACAAATCAAATCAAAAAACAAAACAGAGATCTATTTCTAATTAGCTGTGATAGACTCTTGGGAGTGGAAGAAGTCTCTGAGAACTCAGAGCAGCACATGCAGCAAATCCCTTAAATTCCATATTGATTAGAAGAACCAGCACACAATAATGTGCCAACTTTCAAAGGAAGAATAACCATCAGTGAACAGAAGGGCTGAATTTCTTAATGCAACATTGAAGTGAAATTAAAAATACTGGTGAGTGAAATTTAATGGAACGTAATAAATATCTTCACTATTTCTACCTTTTTTTTCATTGGTCTTGTTCCCATGCTCTTAAACTGAGTTTTTGACTGAAAGGAAAAACTGAGCTGTGATTAGGTCAGTAGAACCGTACATATTATATAAATTCAGAATTTTTATCCTTTATTTTAAATTTCTAGCCTTTTAAAATCTATATGCTGTGATCAAGGCAAGGCAGATTTATAGCTCTCTGCCTTCAAACTGCCTTGCCCTAATCACAGCTCAGAGCTAACCCTGCTTCTTGTGAGTATCGGTATTTGTTAAGCTTTTGCAGAATAGAACATCTCCACTTCATAATAAAATTATCTATTAGAGAATCATTTTTACCAATATAGTTTGACATCAGTTTCAGCTCTGATTATACTTACTTCTTAACACAGAACCACATTTTGGACATACCAAGCCATTTAGAATATAAGCCCTTGTTGGAGGGGGTTCTTTTTCTAATCACATGGGCAGAATTCCCTGGAGATTACTTAAGACTTTGAGATGCCATAGAAGACTTTATAAAACTCTCCAATACAGAAAACCTTTTAAAACGAATATGGATAGTAAAAAATATCACATGTAATGTCAACTTTCACAAGATGAATAAAAGTGCTCCAAGGAATAGAGGAATATGAACACCTATTCATATAAAATCAGATAACAATTGTATGAAGGAGGAAAATAAGTAAATATTTTCTCAATTTTGCCTTTCAATCATCCTGATTCCCACATTCTGAATCTGTATTTTTATCCATCCTGTATTTTTCTTCATACCAATCCAGACTGAAATAAGTAGGAAATATGTTAACAGCTCTCTCTTTACTTCTAGTTTCTCATATCTGTGACCAGAAATGGATAATGACACTACAGTGTTTCTTCTCTTGGAATTCTCAAAGTTTTGGGAACTGCAGGTTATGTATGCAATGATATTTTTGTTCTTATATTTAATTACACTAGCAGGGAACATTCTCATTATCTCTGCAGTTATTTTGGACTCCCATCTTCACATCCCTATGTATTTCTTCTTGACAAGTTTAGCCTTGCAAGACATTGGTTCTGTTTCAGTCTTTATCCCCAAAGCTGTTTTTAATTCAGTTATGAACATAAGGGATATTTCTTATTCTGAATGTGTAACACAAGTGCTTTTATTTGTATTCTTTGTAGACTCTGATATTTCTCTCCTTACTGTCATGGCCTATGATCGGTATGTTGCCATTTGCAATCCTTTAAAATATGAAATGATAATGAACAAGAAGGTTTGCACCAAAATGGTTGGTAGTGTTTGGATTGCCAGCTTTTTCAATGCTGTATTAAACACAATGGGAACTTTTATTACTCCTTTCTGCTCTAATATTATCAATCAGTTTTACTGTGAAATCCCACCTTTACTTAAACTTGCCTGCACAGATTTATATGTAATAGAAATTGGAGTTGTAGTATTTAATTTTGCATTAGCATTTGGTTGTTTTGTCTTCATCATTGTTACTTACATACAGATCTTTTCTGCTGTTTCAAAAATCCCTTCTGTTCGGGGAAGGAAAAAGGCCTTCTCCACTTGCTTCCCTCACCTCACAGTTTTCTCCTTATTCTTATTTACGGCCTCATTTGCTTACTTGAGGGTTCCATCTGACACACCATCATACTTTGATTTTATAGTTACAATAATGTATTCCATTGTTCCACCCATGTTAAATCCATTAATATACAGCATGAGAAACAAGGACATGAATGTTGCTTTTTCAAAACTTTTTGGTCCAAGGACTCTTATTTTATTGGGCAAGAGTAGGAGGAGACATATGGAGGGTTAGCCATAATGTGAAGTCCATCCCACAGTTTCATACTGTGTGGAAAGATGGACTGTCCTGAAATAGAAGGAATGTTACATGCAACTGTCAAAATCAAAGGCTTTTTTCTCTGGTCTGTCAGCTGCCCACCTTAGGCACATAGGCACTTGCTGAGAAAGGGACAACAATATTTCAGATTCCTTAGAATCTGAACGGTAACCTTCATGTAGGTTTCAAAAGAAAGAACTATAAAAGAAGCCACAGCATGCAAACAAAAGGAGGGAATGGGAGTCTTCTAAGTTTGACAGGAGTTGCTGCTGGAGTGAGAGTTCTAATGGACAAGGCATGGAGCAGAAGAAGCCACAGCTGGGAAACTCAGATTCCAAAGGATCCAAGGCCAGGGAACAGAACCAGGGAGGTCCCTGAAGCAGCTGAAATCAAAGAAGAACTTGCAGAAAAGAGCCAGGAAAGACACATCCCTGGACTCTAGATGGTGGCAGAGTGAACTCCACATGGCGCAGGTGCTGAATAACTGGGCAACGGAGTATTAAGGAAAGAGCTGTTAGCATTCCTAAGCCTGTCCATAAGTAATTGTGGCAGGAGAAAGAAAGTAGCAACACATTATTTTTTCCTTATAAAGTAGCAGAAATTTAACTTGTTTAATTAAGTTCTAATTATGAAGTTAGGTATTAGAGTACATATTTATGCTTAGTCACTACAGTTGCAGACACAGAAATATTTATGTATATAAACATCTATATACATAAATAAATACACTTTGCACTGCATTTGAACAGTGATAAACAACACTGTCTTCACTTGTTAGCTCTCTTTCTCCGTGTGCCTGGCTTTACTTCTATACATTTCTACCCTCTGATACACTCATTATCTTAAAATAAATAAGAAATTTATTTTAGTTATTTATGGGAAAGGACTGCTGTCTCTCAAGAGTTTTTTTTTTTTTTTTAAATTTCCTCATAAATTAATCTATTTAGCTGGCATTAGGGAATGCATGGGAGCTCTCATGTAGCACCAGTCTGTAATTCATTAACCCAAATGCATCTTTTCCTAGGACCATGCAGTAGTTAGACAGGGCAACAGTGCAAGCTCAGGATGACACAGAGCTGCTTTAAAGTTCTCTCAGCAGGAGCTACAAGCATGAGTAGGTATACTCCAAATCACTGTGTCTCCTTTGAATCCAGATGGCTGCAGATTATTATTCCTAAATTCAAGCTCTGTCTCCTATTCCCTACATATATAATTAAGACTGAGCCATATTTATTTCTCAAGTGCAATATAATTGACCCTTGATACATGCCAGCCAATAAACAAAGGTTAGAATCCAATGTGATTACATCTCAAGAAGGTTAAAACAAACAGACTTCAATGGCTGAACACTTCAATATGCCCCTTTGCATGTCCAAAGTATGTTATATTCTGCTCCTAATATCAAGTCAGGAAATACATGGGTCTGAGAAAGTAAACTGGAAATCCCAAAGTTATCTGGACAAAATATTATTCAATATTGGTATGCCTTTTGTATTTTAAAGAAAAGAAAGGATACTATTTAGTATATTTGGAGAGAGAGAGAGAGAGAGAGAGAGAGAGAGAGAGAGAGAATATGTTCAGAATATGTTGGTACAATCAAGTAGTACTGCTCAGCAATTCCTTGAACCAAATTCATCCTTTCCTAGGATCATGTGGTTGCTGAACCAGATGATACCAGAAACTCAGAAAAAGACTCAGCTGCTTTAACGTGTTTCCGACAAGTGCTTCATGCAAGGTTAACTATGTTACAAGTCACATTTTCTCCCTCAAATTTAGGCGATTGCATGTTGTCATTCCTCTACTCAAGCTCCATTTCTATTTTATATTATTAACATGGACTTACGTTTAGTCCTTATGTTTACAGAGATTGTCCTTGACGTGTGTATGCCAATGCTGATTGATTTGATTCCAGTCCAGTTCCATCTCAAGGAGATTGGGACAGAACAAGAATTCAATGATTGAGCATTTCACATATATACTATTTAACCTCCAGTGCCTAGTAGCAGGACAGGAAATATGGAACATGTAAAAAAACTCAAATATATATATTTGGTCTTATTTCTCTTTTCTTTTTAAAAATGTTTCCAAGTTTAAGTCATTACCATTCTATAAACAGAACAGATATGGGCCTTCAAGCTGAAATAAGAACAGTTTAGAGAACAGAGATTCAAAGAGTTGAAGGGGAAAAAAAGGTCTAGGATTTAAAGCCAGGGTATCTCACACATACACAAACACACACACTGTAGTAAACTGATCTTCTGCACAGAAATGGCTTCCTTCATATCTTCAATAACACCTACTTATTTAGCTCTGACATTAGATACTGAGTACAGAGTTGAGTTTCTGAATATGAGAGATGATACTAATGTTAGATCTGATGTGAAGTCTAAAATATACTTAAATCAAACATCTCTCTGTGTATTTGTGGTGCTGTACTTTTAAAATAGTTTTAAAGTATGGCTGGACCATAAAGAAGGCTGAGCGCCGAAGAATTGATGCCTTTCAATTGTGGTGCTGGAGAAGACTCTTGGGAGTCCCTTGGACTTCTAGAAGGTCAAACCAGTCAATCCTAAAGGA